AAGTAAAATTCATGGTGTCCATAGAAATAGCTGTCTTTGGAGATCTGTTCAGATATTATTTTTCAGGAAAAGCCAAGTTTTAGTAGATAATATTTCATTATTAGGCTTTCGTTGAGGGATACAGAGGACTAAAAAGATTTGGTGGGTCATTAAAATAAGTACAGATCTGCCACTGTGGGGTTTTAAATACAAAATGAAATCCTGGCCTCTTGGAAGGGGCCTCCCATGCTTCCTTTGGGCCCCATGCTAATTTCATTGCTGGTTTCAGAAGGGTAAGGACTTCCACTGATTTTAATTTTACAATGTTTCTTTTAGTATGCAGGCATTGAAATATTAAATTTCTTTTGCTGAGGGTTTCATTAAAGGAAGCTGTACGCCCCTTCCATGGCAGAGCATTTGTGTGATAAATTGCATTTTACAAACACATGAGATGGTGATGATCCCTCAGATATTGCAGAGTTACATTCTGAAAACATTGGTGCTTCTTGTTTTTCCCTTTAGCACTGTGAGGCAAATACTTCAGTTTTTCATCACTTCCCCAAGCCTGGGCTGAAGGGACGTTAACAACTATGCAGGGAGAATATTGTGATATGCACCATAAAGTTGTGCCAAGGTGAAAGGAATATACAGGCTCAAATGAACCCTTCCCCTGAGGCTTTTGTGATTTATTTTAATATTTTCTAAGGTGAAGTGCTGGATCCAAGCCTTGCTACCAGCCAGCATCTTTCACATCAGACAAAAAATCTTTTACTTGCGTCTTCCTTGGGCACCACCCCTCCAGATCCTGGTGATTTCAGCACAGCAGAGTTTGGCTGTGAAAGTCTGTCACTGCTGTCATGGTGTGCTGCTCTGTGGGTACTGCATCCACCTCTGCCTGCTCTGTTCTCAAGGGATGTGTGCCAGGCTTAGACTGAACAGTGTCTCAGTTTTTCAGGGTGAGAAAAGGGCCCTGGTTTGCTGTGTTTCTGAGAAGGCCATTGAAAGAGGCAGATTTGCTGTGTGGGCAGCAGGAGTAGAGCCAGGGTGAAGTACCAGTGTGGAGTGCCTGAGGCTGTGGGTGGCACCTCTGTGACATTTCTTTCTCTCATTGTGGCATTTGAAGAAAACTCCCCCAGAGGCAAGCAGGGGTGCCTGGTTATGATGTCTTGGCTCTGAAATTGGTAGTTGTGATTGCAGGGCTCTGCAGCCTGCTCTGGGTTAGTGTAAACACATCTTTCAACTTGTAAGAAACCTGCTGTGTTTCCTTGAAGGACATCAGCGAGTATGTAGGCAAACCTCAGCTGCTTTTCTTCTGGAGACTTTGTCTCCCAGATAAGATTCTCATGAGTAGTTTCATATTTGTCTCAAGTCCATGAATTCAGTGGCAGCTGAAGGTATTTGGCAGCTTTGGGTACCAGTGACTCCTTGGGGCTGCAGAAGGCAGCATTGCACTGTGGACAGGTCAGTGTAACCACCAGCTCTGTGCCCCTGAGCTCTGGTGCCCCTGAGCTCTGGTGCCACTGAGCTCTGGTGCCCCTGAGCTCTGGTGCCACTGAGCTGAGCTCTGGCTTGAGCTGCCTGAGCTCACAGCCCTGCCCACAGCTCATGAGGCTCAAGGGAAAAGGAACAATGAATGTAGAGGGCTGAAAATGACCTCAGGAAATTTCCCCCCTTCCCCATCAGCCCCCACTGCAGATTAAAGTTCTCTAGAATGTTCCTTTTCCTTGGTGCAGGAGAGATTCTCACTTCAGTTTGTCTGAGACCAGGACCACAAGGCCTGGGAAGGGAAAAGTGAATGGAGAAGCTACTCACCAGGACCTGCTTCTTCTGGTGACACCAGGTAGCAGTTTCTGAAACAATTTTTACTTAAGGTGCCTCCAAACTCTCTAGAGTTGAGAACTGGAGCAAGGAATACTGGTCAATTAAAACGGCAATATAATTTTAATTGACATAATAAGACTAAGGTGTAGTATAATTAATTTTTTCATGCAATAAATAGGACAGGAATAAATCTCAGCAAAGCAACCAGTCTGTTGTACTTCCTTACTTGCTACAATGAACATTTTTCTATGCAGTGAGATTTTCTAGCAAAGAAATGCTGAGAGTAGACGGTGATGGCCATGGGCTTGCTTTTTAGCTGGCCCAAGCATGCTGATGTGTAGTACTTTACTGAGGGCTAACCAAAACTAAAAATCCTGTCTGTATCTCCTGCCCAGCTCCTCCAAGTCAGTGTGATGAGCAGAGCCTGGTTGTATCTGTTCTCCATCTGTCCCTTCCTCGTCATTTTCGCTATCACTAATTGTTAATGTCTGGCCTGAGAGATTGCCTCTTAGCACAGTGCTGATGGGATCTCTCCATGCAGGATTAAGGCTGGAGTGGATTGGCAGGAGGCAGCATCCTTGCTGTGGGAAGTGTGCCAGGTGTGTGCATGCTTGGTGCTGCTGCTCTTCCAGTTCCTCCAGTTCTGGACATGGGCAAGGGTCAGGTGCAGCTCCATGACCTCTCACCAGCACATCAGGCCAGACATGGTCTGGTCTGGGTTTGGGAGAGGCCTCCTACACCCAGCTGCTGCACATGGCCTTCGAGGAGACTTTCTGTCTGTTTACATCAGCTGCACCATCCCTGGTCAGGTGCAGACCAGTGTGTGATCACAGAGCTTTAATCAAGGCAGTGATAACGCTAACAGAGTAGTGGGAGTGCTGGCAGGGGGAGCTGAGATGTCATTGCTTACCATGTCGTGGTCCCCAGGTGGTTAATGTGTCTGTAAATCACACAAGTGCTTCCCCATAGCTTTGCTTTCTGCTGCTGCCTCAGCTGCCAGCATTTCGTGGGACACAGATCTCAGCTTGTGGCAAAAGTGTGGTCTCCTTTCCCTGGAAAGGTACTTGGTATACAATTCCAGTGCCTGAAGCCTAGGTGAGGGCCCTGCTAAGCTCACTGAATCCAGGCTCTGAGAGATTATATTTCATTTTGTTTCATCAGGTTTGCTTTCCCGTGGAGTCTGTATTTTTCCCTGTGTCTGCACAGGGAGCCTGGAAGTATTCCCTGGCATTTCAGGAGGTGAGGAGTTTCCCCTTACCTGGCTGGTCTCCTGGTCTGCTCCTGGGAAGCCCTTGGAAACCCTTGTTGCTCTTTCCCAAAGGTGAAATGTGTCCTGCAGTAAGCAAAAGTTACCTTGCAAGGGCAGCCTGGGCCTGGAGGTGCAGTTGCTGCTGGCTGGCAGTAGCACAGTGGTGACTCTCTTTTCCATATTCAGGACAGAGTGTGAAGCCATCACACCAGGAAGGGTTTCCATGTGTGTTAGTGCTTTCTACAGCTAGAGCAGCTGCAAAAATGTCTTCTCCCAGTCTAGAAGGAAACCTTTATATCTAATTCATCTCAGACTCTCAAATCATAAAGATAGCCAAGTAAAACCAGCAGAGTTTGCACCAAAGGGCTCAATTTTGTTGGCTTCTTGAAGGGGATGTTAAAAGATGTTCACAGTGTTTAGAAGCATTTTTTGATTTGTTTATTTTTCTATGAAAATCTCACTGGTTGGTATTCCCATGTCTCTTTTAAGCCATTTGAGATGAAAAATTTATTTTGTTTCTTTCATTATAAAGAAACATTCTTTCATTATTTTTATCCCGGTTCATGAGACTGTACAAGTAGAAATTAAAGCCCTGCTTGCTATTTCCTTGCCCATGCTATCTGTTAGTCACCCCCAGCTCCTTTCAGCTCTCCCCAGCTCCCCCTCCCCTCCCCAGCTTTCCTTGAAGGGCTGGGAAAGCCGGCGCTGGCACATTGTGTTGGCTGTCTGATTGTTGTGGGGTTGTGTTTGTGTGGGGAAGGTCACAAGACAAAGAGACCACCAGGCAGGGCTGGGTGGGGGCTGTTCAGTCCCTTTCCATTCAGGCCTCTTGGCAATGGGTGGGAAGAGTCTTGTTTGCATGACAGGATTTCAGGGGGCCATTGCTTTTTGTTTAGATTTCTTCCACTGCTGCTGCAATGGGCCCTGGAGGGCTACAACAAAGGTAGAGCTTGTGTTATGAGATTCATGGGGCAAAGCTCTCAGTGCAGGAGTGACTGAGCCTGACCAGCCACTGTGCTCCTGCAGCCTGGAGACTGCCAGCAATTGCTCTGGCTGGGCTGTTTGTGCCACGTCCAGTTGTGGCTCTGGTAGAGCTCTGACTCTGTGGGCTGAGATCCTTAGTGGGATGAATGCTCTGCAAGCATTCTGTCTGTGGAATGAGGGTTGGAATTCAGGGGACAGCTCCACAGGCCTGCCACGGTGGCTGTGCTCCATGAGTATTTCTGAGACTTCCAGGCAGTGACTTTACTTGCAGCATCTGCCTCTTTCCTTGTATCAGGTTGACATTTTTGAGAGCATTCTTGTGTTTAAGCAGCATTTACTTCCTCATCATCCCTGTGAGAAGCTGAGCTGCTGTCCCTGGGTGCAGCTCTCCCCTCACCCCATCCTTAGAAAGCAGCTCAGTCTATATTTACCACTGGTGTGCACAAAGGCAAACATTGTCAGGGACTCATTGTAACTGTCCCAATTACCCTCATTTCATTTGCATAAGAAGATCGACCAGCCTGTGGCAGTGGCACTGCCTTGGCTGTCTGATATGGGACACTGTCATTGGGAAGCAGGAAAGAACTGGAATCCCCAGGCTGAGTGGGATGGGGAGAGGGGCTGTTGTGGTCCCCAGCAGCATGGGTGTACAGCAGCCCTTCCTGGAAGGAGGATAACTTGTCAGATCTCAGGCACTGCAAGTCCCTGACCACGTCTGATTCAGATATAAGAGCTGCCAGCTTCCCAAAGATGCAGATTCCAGGTACCCCAAGCATGCCTGAGTGTCTGGCTGTTCCATACAAGGAAATCCTTCCCCTGTGTAGTGTGTATGTGTGTATTTATCTATTTTTTTGTCAGTAGGTGTTGACCCTGCTCAAATGCTTCTAGACTAAGCAGTGGCCTGCTGTGTTTGTCCTTTCCCTCAGGTACATGTAACCTCTCTTCCTTGTGTTTGGATTTTTTCCAGAAAGGTAGCTGTTCCTGCAGGCAGGCACTAAAGCAAGAGGAAAGCAGCTGGGATGGAGCAGAAGTCAGGAAGCAGGCTGAAATGGTATGATCTCTTGACCCAAAGCACTAGCTAGTGCTGGTAGGACGTGCTTGCACTGCAGCAGCTGCACAGCTCTCACTCCTCTCACTGGATTGAGAATGAATCGTATTTTCTCTCCCTTCCCCCCAGTGCCACGTGTAACATGATCTCCCTGTGCCCAGGCTGCCAGATGGAAACCCAAAACTCTTCTGTTTGCAGTAATGGTTCTTCATGGGCTCAACTGGCCTGTGAAGCTGCAGTGTTCCAGCTTGTGAGCTTTGGCAGAGCAGCTTTTCTGTCCCCCTGCCCTGCTGTGTGTGTGCCTGCACAGACCCACATCCATGTCTTATCTCCCTGCTGCTTCCAGGAGAGACCCTTGCTCTTGGACATCTTTCCTTGTTGCTTGTGGATATCACCAAGCTTAGTGTGCTTTGTGGAGATGCTTCGACCTTTACTCCATCTTACTCTATCCTTCAAAGTCCCCCCTCCAGTATTTGGCAATTAAAAGATTTTATTAGTTAGTTACTAGGTGGCAATACAGGAGCATGTCATGGAGGTGGCTGAGCACAGGCACCTCATCTCAGCTGCAGTAGCATTTTAAGCCTCTTGCATCCTTGGGTGAGTTACTTTGTCCCTGCAAATTACTTTGGTAATTACTTGGGTAAATTACTTTGCCTGTTTCCCAGTTCAAAAGTGGAACTCCTTATGAAGTGATACCACTGTGAATTGTAAAGAGCACAAATTATCATTTCAAAATGTACTATGTCCTAGAGACCTGATTGCTAACAGCCAGATCCCAAGTCTCTGTCCTTACATTTTTGGATCTCTCTGAGGGATTGATGATCCAGCCCAGATTTCTCAGGAATTCCTTTGTTCTTTCTTTGGCAGGACATGGAGCAGGGAAAGAAATCCTTATGTGTTTTCTCAGATGAGATGCTGCTTGTGCTCTGACTCCAAGACTCACATTTTTTGCCTGAAATTACCCACATTGGTATTGTTATGTTTGCTAGGTGCAAGGAACATCAAAAAAGGAAGGGGCAGAACAGTCTCAAGCTGGGGTACAGATGGGCCCCTCATGGTTCCTCTAGCAACCCATTAAAAGCTAGTTTGTATGTTTGACTTCCCTGATGTTGAAAAGGCAAAGTAGGGTCAAGTCTTACATTTAAATTTGGGTTCTTTCCATTGTGTTTGTTTTTGCAGGGAGTGTCCTACTTTCTGCATTTCTATGACCTCTCATTTTAGCTTATGTGTTAGTGGGGTCTGTTTATAAGCAAGCAAAACACCTGCTCCAGACACTGAATTAGCTTTTAAATCATTGTTCCTAAGAAATATGAAGTGAAATACTGTGATTTAGGTACTTACACTATCTCTTTTAAGCTGAGTCACTGTCTTTTGCTTTGCATTGGGAAAATAACTTTGGCACATATTCACACAGTGGTGCCTGATGGACCTGGGAGGAAAACAGACATTGGCCACCCAAAGAGGAGAGGAGGGCACCCAGTTTTCAGCTCTGCCAGTGAGGTTCAAGTAATAAGATGTGCCCTTTTAAAATGCTTTGTTTTCCCCAGCTGTGCAAAGGGAGGAGGTGGATGAATAATAATACAGGGAGTTTTGTTTGAAATTCACCAAAAGACTGGGGGAATCAGTGCTTTTTCCTTTTCAAGCAAAATATTTAATTTGATTTGAGCTGAACCATCTGGGCACTCTGAATAGGAATGTAAATGACAGTTTTTAAGGAAACATTTTGAAAATGGCAATGTCCAGTGCTTTGGAATTTTAGAATCTGAAGGAACTTCTAAACAATCAGTATTCAAACAATCAGTATTCAAATTTAAGGTAAATTCTCAGGAAAGTCTTGGCATGACTGAAATCTCAGGAAATCTCTTTGCTTGGAAAAGTTTTGTTTGGAAAAACTTTATCCTTGCAGTGTAAGTGGGAGACAAGCCCTGCAGATAACACTGCTGATAAACATAATATTCTGCATATAAACTGCATCTTGTCCTGCCCTTGGAGCAGTGTTACACTTGCATCTCTTGGGCTGCTGCTTGTAATTATCCTGGTGCTTTATCCTATCGGCCGTTTCCATGTCACTGGTTCAGTTTTGCTACAGCTCCCCTTGATGGGGGCAGTCTGACCTTTGGTGGCTGCTGTTTGATTTGCTCTGGGTTCATGAGAATTTGTTGTCTGGGAGCAAGGGAGGTGCCCAGTGGTGGAGGGATTATACAGGGACAGACGATGGTAGCACTGTCTGCTCCAGGCAGCTTTTCTGCTCCTGGATTAAAGTTCATGCTGTGCTGCTTGTCTGTCTCTCTAAGGCCTTGTCAAGTCCATGTGGGAAGCTGTTCTGTCTGCACTATTCCACTTTGTGCTGCTCAGCTCTCTTCTTGCCTCATTTCTCCTCCCTCTTTCCCCTTCCATTCAGGCAGCATCTTTCAGTCTCCCCCATTCAAGCTCTGTCTTTGCTCTCTGCCCTGTGTAAAAGTTCCATGCCCTCCCTACCATTCATCACCTCTTGCTCATTCACCTCCCTGCTTTCCTTTCCCCATTCATCTGGGCTTCCCCTCACCCAGGCTGGGCTGCCCTCTCCTCCTGCCCCTTCCACAGTCCTCCTTTTGTGTCTTTGCACTCCCTTCTCTGTGGCCATCCAAAGCTCAGCAGTCTGCAGTGTGCTCTGTGAGGATGCTCTTCTAGAAGTTGGCCCCAGCTGATGAGCAAATTAATCCTCAGTGGAAACCTGGTGGGACTGTTTTGGGTGGATTTGTCTCTCTATTTACCCTGCAGGTGAGAAGATTTCTTTTACCTCCACTTCCTGGAGATGCATCATGATGCATGAACAGGAAGAGTATTACAATTTGCTAACCTTCCTGATCAGTCTGGTCTTTCTGTCTCTCCCTCCTGGCTTGTTTCTCCTTTGTTTGCAGCAGTTGCAGCTCTCAGGTGATTCCCTGGGAGGTTGGTTGGATTTCCTCATTCCTGAGGAACGTAACATGAATTTTCTTAATTATGCTGGCTCTGTAATTATGGTTGTTGCCTGTGTCTTCTCTGCTTTTTTCTTTTAAATCATCTACTTGGAGGCTGTATCAGTTTTGTCAAGCCATCTCTGCTCTCCAGTATGTGTTTTAAGTGTTCCCCAGGAAACAGAGCTTATGAATTGTATTAGTCAGGCGTTGTTGTTTCTGGGTCTCAATGCAGCCATGACCCTGTGCTTGTGATGCAGACACAGGAAATATGGACCACAGCCTTGCCAAAGATTTCTCAGTTTGCTGAGCACCTGGTCCCCTGCAGCTCCCACAGTGCCAGCAGTGTGCAGACATCACCCCATGGTATTGAAGGAGCAGATCTCTGCTGCAGTGTGGCAGGAAAACAAAGTGGGAGGTCTGCTGGCCCGTGGGTGCCCATGGGGGGCTTCAGCTTTGAATGGGTAAACTGCATTCAAGTCAGTCTGGTCAAATAAAAGGGGAATGTTAGAGCCTGGGAAGAGTGGATAGGCTTGGAGGAAGCAAGTGCTCTGAAAGCTTGTGTGCTCCCTGTGCCTGTGGGAAATCTGATCAGCTCAGTAAAGGAGACAGAAATGAGGTGCAGACAGGCAAGGAGAGGGGCTCTGTGAGTGTCTGCAGGTTCGACTGACAGGACAGCTCTCTGTTGTGTGGGAGGCTGTGAAAGGAGCATCCCCTGTGTCTCATGAGGCTGAAAGGAGCCCCTGACACAGCCTGGCAGGGCCAGGCTCTGGGAGGACTTGTCAGTTCTCTGAGAAGGACCCTTTCCCCTGATAACTGCCTCAAAGTAGGATTTCAAACCCTGCTGTGGTTTGTTGTCAGGCTGGTGAGTGTGTAAATGAGATTCCCTGTTCACTGTGCTTGTGCCCCACAGAGACATTGAACCTGGCAGGGCACATTAACCCCAGGCCAGCCCTGCATCTTGTCACCTGCAGCCAGCAAAGCTTGGACTGGGAACACAGCACAAACAGCACTTCTTCCTGTGAAGTTAGTTGCATTCCTGCTGTGGAGTTTATTTAGTCATGATTTGTTTTAAAATGTCAGACACATTTTCTTTCTGTTTGAAAACTTGTGGCAGAGAGAACCCTGGAAACACTGTCCCTTGTATCCAGTAAGAGCATATAGGAATCCAAAATGCAGCTTGATTTTCTTGACTTGTGGTTTTGCAACTTTGGCACTTGGACAAATCTCTTCTACGCTTAAACCAAAGCACATTTGACATAGCAGACACTGGTGAAGTGCAAACACTGCAGAAATGACTATTGCAGATCAATGCAGGGAACCTGCAGTCTGGGTGTCATCCAGGAGCGATTTGGATAGATCACCTAAGAAACAATTCAAACCACCACAACTTCCAGCAGTCTGGCTCCTTCCTGGAGCTGTAACTCCTGTGATCACCCTGGAAAGATGCAAGTCAGGATTTCTCGCTCTCAAGCATTTAAATGGTAGAAGTTAGAGAATAATGAATGCTCCCAGCTCCAGGCTGCAGTTGGAACCAGCCTGTCTGCAGTACCTCTGAGAGGGTTGTGTCATTGCAGTGTAGTGCCAGTGCCTACAAGACATTTTAAGGAATCATGTGATGGCTCTGTCTCCTCTTCACAAGGCTGACTTAAACTTCTGCTCCAGTTTCACTTAAGAAGCAGAGTTTCTTTGATAGCTTCTAGTTCCTATGACTGAGCAAAGCCAGTTGTGATACCAACAGGAGCTCAATACCTTTCCCAGTCCATTTAGCAGGAGTTTTGCTCCATGGCTGTTGCTGTAACCAGGAGAGTGGTTTGAATTCCAGTACAGGTGGGTCATTTTGGCTACATGTGGGCTATGGCACTTGTTAGCTGGAGTTTTAAATTCATCTGTTTAGCTTGAGCTTTTCTGAACCCTCATAACTTGCTGTCAGGTCAGAAGAGAACTGTTGGGATCATCTAGTCTCTCCTAATGTAGGCAAGAAGGTTTTCTGAGTGATCTTCTGCTTGACCTCAGCCATACCTCATCTCCTAGGAGAACTTGCAATTTAATTGTAAAACTTCTGGT